ATAGTGAACACCATATAGCGAGGAAGCTTTTGTGATTGAAGACCTGTGAAATGATTCAATTGAAAATTTTGTAGTTTCCGGCTCTTTCAGTTTTTCGCAGTGACTATTCCGCCCCCTCTAGTGGTATTCATAGTGATATCTCAAAGTTGTTTGAACTTACTCGGAGCTCGGTAACAAGAACCGCAACAGCTACGGACGTTTGCGAACAATTCTAAAGATCACTGAAGAGCGCTGACCCTATTAAAGCTGTCATTAAAAAAAGCTCCCGATACGTCCGATTCGTGTTCGGTGAGCGTTAACGAGGTCCGAGTAGAAGTTCGCAAAGTTGCCACCGAAGTAATCTATAATTCAAGAAGTTGAAATTTAATTGTAGTCGCTAAATAGTACGTGAAATGTGACAAAGCTTCTGACCCTAGACTAGAATTTTGTTACCTAGAAAAGTTAGTATTCGAAATGCGTTTGTGTCATTTATCTTTGAATGAAGGTACTGGAAAATATTAAAAAATATTGAGAAAATGTAGTTAAGGGCTCGAATTGATAAAGAGGAGCAATTGATTGGTACACGGACAGCAAGGATTAGGCAAAAGAAAAGAAGTAAACGTGACGAAAAGAGTTTAGGTCAGCAATAAAAAAAGGCAAAAATGGAATTAGAAGAACTGTTTGAGAGGATGCTAACAGCTGATGTCCACAGCGAAGATGACAGTGCGGCGGAAGGCCTAAAAGAAATGGATAATATCACCGCTCTGCATGGAGATGGAAGTGCCCAACGACAAAGAGAAGAAGTTGAAAAAGCGTGGGAATATTTTGTTGAAGGTTTTGTCGGATATATTTATATATTTTGTTCTGAAACATGTAAAAACAGGAGTCCACCCAGGTAACTGTCGTTGATGTCGTCGATTTTGAAACGTTCGGAGAACATGAAGAAGAGTTAGAGAGTTAGAAGAAGGGCATCAAATAGCCTGCCGATGAAACGATCGAGACAATTACAGATGTGCAGTAAGAGTTGATGAATAATAAAGAAAACCACTGGCAGGAGAAGACAGGATCGATATTTGTACATTTGGTCGAAGTGACAAATTCTAACCAAAGCTCAAGTGGAAGCACGTTCGATGACGCCGAAGTTATTCTGGTGGACAAAGAATGGCGATCGACGAAGACTTATAGAAATTTCAAAGCTAAATTCTACAAGGTGACGATTATAAGTAAATCTTAGCAAAGTGAGTGTAGAAAAAAAGCAAAAAATAAAATCAGATTGGATATCAAAGGATGAATTTTGCCGCTGTAGGCTGAGTGTTCCAGACGAAACTACAAGATGTCTGGGCATCGAATGCTCTATGTGGGTTCCCAGATAAAACAAATTGAAGAGGAAAAACTGTTGCAGAGACATAGCTAAGCGCAGTACCTACTCAGACAGGAAGAAAGTCATACTGGCAGGCGTCTTACCGCAACTACGTGCGGTGCTGGAGAAGGAACTGCCGCAAATCCTCCAACACCGGCGCTACCACCATGAGAATGCACGTTCAACTGAAACGGGTTATGAGTTCTCGGAATCGTTTGCGGTAGATTAAAAAAACACCGAAAAGGGTCACAAACTATTTTTTAGAAGAACTGCGAGACAAACCGAGAATTTGCCGCCAACATCATACGTCTGAGCGCCATCATCACCGCAGATGGTTTCAGATATGATGGCAAAGGCGTAAAGAGAGCCCAAGTCTGGCCGATGACGTTGGCTTTACTAGACATAACGGCTGCGAAAAGGTTCTCACTCAAAAACATTCTGACTGTAGGCTTATTTCGCGGAAACGAGAAACCCACTCTTGAAGGTGAGTAGTGGATGATAGAAAAAAAAGTAGATAATTAAGAATGGAACGCTCTGAGCGGCATATCTTAACGAATGTCGTAAGTTCGATAACGGTGGAATGCAAGGGAACGGTTTACCAAGTTTACCTGAAAGTAACACACGGTGTAATGGATTTTGAGGTCTGATTTGGAGAAAACAGGAGGAAAAAAAATGTTTGGCTGCAATTTATGAGAAGCTAACGCGAGGGGAGTAATCTTGAACTTTAGGCCATGCGAGCTGCTTTCCGTGTAAGATTATACGAATCAGGTCTCTGCATTTGGTGCGATGTTGTTGGTGAAAGATTGAACGGAGCAGCGAGATACCCTTGTGCTAAGGGTTGTACAAAAACCGCCGACTATCACGATTTTAGCAGCATCAACGCAGTAAACGAGTACAAAGGTGTTGAAGAGATGGAAAAAAGAAATAAGCTGAAAATAATTCAGAGTACGCGTTATTTGCAGCTGTTGTGAACGCCTCGGGTTCAATTGTAGATATGCTTCACGTCGTGTGCGAGGGATTTCTAGAAAGCATATACAGAGGTTGAGTGTGTTCAAAACATCTTTTAGTTGCGGTGAGACTGATATGGAAAATATCCTTCTAATTGAGAAACGAAATATCAGAGTGATAAATAAAACCTTAGAGAAATCCAAGCTGCGAAAAAAAAAAACGGAAAAATTTTTTTTTAGCATTAAGTTGTGAAAGAGTTAAGAATTGGAAACAGATTTGGCGGCCACCAACAAGCTGCGTCCAAAGCTTCGCGTTCAAAATGGTATTCTTGAGGAAGTCGAAAAAATAGGGTTTGTTTAGCTTGTACGAACGATACAGAAAACGTTTTTTTTTCTACAGAGGACGAGTGAAACTGCCGACCTATTGTAGCGCTAGACTCATTTCACTCACAGCAGTTGCAAACTGCTCGGCAAAAGAATTGTTGATGGTAAGAATAAGTAATTTGTGAAGAAAGAAAGTAATAGGCAGATGAAAAAATTTTTTGAGGCTTCGCATCTAATTCTGCCGATACTGTGCTTCGAAATGTACATAAATGATGGCTTGACGGCGTCCTACACGTTGGCTCTCAGTTGCTTGATTCGGGCCCTCTATATGGATGGACTAAAGAAGGATGATTTGAATGACATCGCCTACGCACTAGAAGCTCTTGGTTCTCTATGGGACGAGGTTTACTCGAAAGGGACAACAACCATAAAGACGCACGTGAGTTTGGATGTGCTCAAACTCATTTTGAAAGAAGCAGTCTTTCTTTGCGCACCTCCCAGAGCAGTTGCGCAAATATGGTAATGTTGTGGACTTGGACACGAGCGGCTTCGAACATTCGTACATGGAGTACAAGCACCTACTCAACCCGCATGTTACGACAAATTTTGATTTGTACGCTTTGCAAAGGTATTGATGAACGACAAGCTTGATAAGCATCAAGTGTTTCAAGCATTATCTTCAATATCCGTCCAAAATGTACATGCTAGTTGTTTACTTAGTTTATTTCTTTTTGGATGGTTTTGAAAAAATGTTCAACTAAAAAGCAACTTACAAATCTGCTGTATATGGTATTTACTGGCGCACAACTGAAGTGTCAGCGAAGGGTGCAACTGAGTATCCCGCCTAAAATTTTAGAAACCTCAATCAATGAAGTGAAGGTCTATGAACCCCGAAGGCTCTCTGACGGGTCAAACGTTTAGATCTTCTAGAAGAAATACACTGCTCCACATAATTATATATCCACTTGAAATTTTTGGGAAAATGACTGCTGCGTGGACTTTGTGTTTATTCTTTTTTCCGAATATATGTTCAACTTTTCAGAGATCCCTTGCTATTAGTATTCCTTTTTTCAAAGAAAGGATGAGAAAATGATAAATGATAGAATAAACTAAAAAATGTTTAAAAGTTTGAAGTCAGAAGAGTATATAATCGGGGGAAAATTTAAAACCTTTTTTGTTCAATCAAACCGTTGATAGCTATATTAATCTGATCGAAATTCCCATCTTTTGACAACAAAAAGATTTTCGGAAACTCTCAAAATTTTGAATTTTTCGAATAATCTCAAGTGGATATAGGGACTGATACAGACCATGTCTGTACTAACAAACCACAAAATTCAAAATCTTCCTCAAAGCCGATCATGAGAAAAAAGAAGAAGTTGTTTGCATTTTAATGGAAATTTGAAAAGGTATGCACCAAGAAACTTTCATCCGAAAAAAGAAAGGAACGACCTAATATACACTAATTTTGAGAATTGTTCTACAACGGCACGCTTACTTCCAACTCGAGAAACGAATATCTGAAACTAAAGTTCCGCAGTTTAAAAAGCTCTACACCCAGCATTGTGCAAACAGGTGATTCGGAAAAATTATGTTCATAAATTTTTAAATATCTTGAGAGCTCGTGGGTTGCGACCGGAAGACACAGCTGATCCATTTGTTCCCGAGCAAAGAGTAAACCCGCCGAACACTACATCCCCGGCCTACCCGTCCTACGATGCTTTGTTGAGATATGTACCTTTTGGGAACAGCGTCACTTTGTAGTACGTTTTATTAGAATTTTTATCGGATGGAAAACGGAAAATATAAAAACGTACTAACTTATAGGATTTTTTGTTTTATTTGGACTTTTTTTTTCGTTTTCTCCGATGAAAACTCCATATACTTTGAAAAAAACGCGGCACACATAAATTTTTTCAGCTCACGCGCGTACAAGAAAGGAATGACCTTCGCGAGTCATTACTATTGGAGTGGGCCGAAGTCAACTCAACAGAATCTTGTCGCCTTCGAATCCGGCGGAGAGATATGCTTCGGGCGCATCGGAGCAATCGCAAAGTTATTACCTTGTGATGAAGTTCTCGTGAGCGTCGAGAAATTGGGGCTAGCAGATCCCAAAAAATTGATCTTTGACTACCTCGACAGCAGTACTCAACAAAGCAGCGATATTCTGAAAGCGGTTCTGACGCGCTACATCACGGGCCCTGCCTGTTTCTGCGGAGAGATCGCAAAGGACTTTAATGGATTCGCTATTGTTCCCCTCGATTCTATTATTTCTACGGCTGCTATTATTCCACTAATGAACAAGAACTACTACTTCGCCATTCCCAACAAGCGTTGTTGGCAATGACTTTATGTTTATAAAATCATGGGCACTTGGCATGAAAATGTATTCAACAAATTTTGTTAGTTCTTCCATTCACAGTTCATAGTCACGAAAGTCTTGTGAATTTTGTCGCTTTCGTCTTTCACGTTTTTCAATTTATATGCACCGAAATTTTTTGGAAACATCTGTTTGAATAAAAATGGTCAAAATTTTTTTTAAGCTCGAAGCTGTTTTCTTATTTTCCTTGAAACACGATGCCGTACGCAATAAAGAGGGAAATGATTTTAAACCATTTTCCTGCGGGAAAAAAATAGAAAGGCTTACAGATCGCTAGAATATCATTGATATCGCCTTTATCTGATGTTATGAGGCCTTATAAGAAGATTCGATAGAGAAGAACAATTTCAGTCTGAAAAAAGTAATCTCAGTCAAATTCAATTTCAAGAAAATGGCGGAAAATAATTTCAAAGCCTATGGTGAAAATCTTCGGCCAACTGGCCACAGCGATTTTCGATGTCAATGTTTAATGATTGCTTTTCCGATATGTTTTCGATGTCAGGCATTATCATCTACTAGCAGAACAATAAGAGAAATGAAAATATAAAAGTCCGTATATTTTAAACAAAGAGAACGTCACAAATGTTACGAGTCTTCAGCCCCGGAACACAAAAAAAAAAACGCATGTATCGTGGTGACTCCAAACAAGAAGTCGTTAGACTTCAATCGCTAACACTCACCGAGGACAGATGGAGCACTTTTCTAGACCAAGTCTGTTGTGAAAATTTCAAACAAAACAAGCTATAACATTCGTGGAATAAAAAACCCGCGAATTTTGAACGGCTCTTCTTCCAGTTTTTCATATCGTCAGGAACTTTCCGACTACAAAGTTTCCGACTTATCCTTCCGACTTTTTCCTCGATAGGCTATTTGTTTCAATTTTATATAAAATAAGAAGATGATTCATGATTTTGTTTCATGTGCAAAATGACAAAAAGTTTTAACTAATGGTTTACAGCGAAAAATCCAGGAAACAGTCAGATGAGTCGACGTCACGTCGGAAAATTTCTTAGCGATGAAAATCGGATAAATCGTGTTCAAAATTCAACTGACTTTTATTTCATATCTCCATAGAATGACGTACTTCAATTAAAGCCGAACTCAGTGGCAGCATCCTTGTAGTTGACCAATTAGGCGACTATAATTTGTTCCATTATATTTTGATAAGCTCTTTCTGAAGATAACTCATTAAACCTGACGAAAAATTTCGAAGAACAAATGCGAACAAAACTGCGAGAAGATGAAACAGAACGACAGTTTTAATTATAACATATTGAATTTCTTCAATTAAATCTGTCAAAGAACACGATTCGCGCCAACGAACACCTACATTGCCCTGCGGGCGATTGCATTGAAAATGCGTTTTATCTTTTATTTTTCGCCCCGTCTTTTTATTTCTTTGAACATCATTTTTTCTTTTTCAACCTTGTAACTTGCGATACTAGGAAAATTAATCATTTCTTACTCATACATCATTATTCCTTTACCGCATTTTTTTTTATTTGTCGATTTTATTATCAGTAATTAAGCAAAGTTTCAGAGCTGAGATGAACACGACCTTCACGGAAATGGAGAAAGGTCATCTTTCTACACTTTTCTCTCAACACTTTTTTTTTTACCTTTATTCCCATTTTCTTTAAACGTAATTTTTTCACTTTAATTTTCCAGGAGTTTTGAACAAATTACTATCGAACCAGCAATTAAGCAGCAGCTTATCACAGCTTCTTAATTCTTCACAACACAGGGTTTCCATTTTTTTATTTTTCATTACTTTTTTTTTCCATGTTCCAGGAGACTCCACTCCCAGCCATTCCGTTGCTCAATCTTTACCTCCCCTCCGCCACTCCACCGGTTGCCCCACTCCCCAGTAAGTTTCCAAAGGAAATCATCACTTTTCAAAATTACCTTTTAGACGCCATCACTGTTCCAAATGCAAAACCACCTGCCGCCAAACGGACCCACATTGAAGAGTTTGTATACTCACTAAATTTGAACAAACCAGCTACTCAAAAGGAAAACACGGTTCCCTATTTTTGATGTTTCATGTATATTTTTTGTAACAAATTCAAGGTCTTTAAGTCTACGAATCTTCACAAAATTTCCTTCGGCATTAGAACCAGTCCTAGCCTCTCAGTCAGCGATACGCTGACTGCGGTCCTGATGCGATAGCTGACTTTTCTGAGCGGAAAGCGGTTCCCTGTCTGCACAAATGTGCTAATCGTAGTCCATAACGACTCAATTGCGTAATTGTTGCAGTTCAAAACTATGATTTTAGAAATATAAAGGATTTTGCAGTTATTAGTTTTAAACAAAAATTTCTAATTTTTTTTTCGAGCCCGGCTGCTGCGGCGAGCCGATGAGACATGGCATTTTACCATGCCCTCACTTCGTTGAGTACGCAAAAAAGGTTGCTAAGGTCCGCAATTTCTAAAGATTCCGTTTTTATTTTCTGTTGCGACATTTCCATCCAAGTTAGAGTATTTTTTTTTTTGATTTCCAATTTTTCACGGATACGTATTTTTGCGGGTCAATCTTGAACATTCTCAGCTAATAAAAAATTAGCCGGCATACGACAAAGCTGTAGTTATTCGCGTGAAAAGCCCAACATCTGAAAGTATGTATTTTACAGCTGTCTAGACGGACCGGCGAACTCATTCTCGACACACCGACAAAGCATCAACAAAGACCCACTTGTGCGAGCATGGTGATCGACAGTGTCATTGACACTGGCAAGCCTCTCAGCATGGGTTTAGCCGTCGGAATACGAACAGTCGGGCACCATACAATGACACAAATTTTTGAAGAAAACGTTGACGTCCCCCTTTACAAAAATCTGGCGCCGGAAACTATAGATTTCCTCAAAGGTTCTTTTTTCTCAATACCCTTTCATATACACTATCTTTTTATTTCAGCTCTTGTGACATCTACGACCACCGTCAACCCGGACAAAATCAAGTAGGGCTTGATGATACAACCACTGTCTTCGAAACGGCTCGATGGCTTTGTTGTCCAGTTCCTCCAAGAGAAGTGGTGCGTCCATCTTTTGATTTTTTTTCTCATTGGCTTCTGGCTCTTTTCCAGTAAAACTGGGAGACGGAAGTGTCCTAGGTGGAAAACCATGAGAACGGAAACTTACGCTGCTTTACACAACAAGTACTTCGGTTTGCCATCATTCACTCATCTTTTCATTTCTCTTTCTCAGGCGTACCCCAAGAGGTCGGCCTCTCAAACGTCTTCGTTGCTGGAAATCGCGATGACGCATCCGATTCTGTCGCAAAGTCTCCACTCTGTATATATTTTCCTTTGCCAATATGCACTTTTCCCATAGCTATGACTTCCTAACTTTTTAAACATTTTTTTGTTTATTCTATCATTTATCATTTCTCATCACTTTTGAAAAAAGAATTAATAGCAAGGGACTTTGAAAAGTTAAGGCACCTTGAACTTTGTAATCAGTAAACGATCAGTAAACGTTCACGGCGGTTATTTATTACATTAGCTTCTCTTAAATCGTTAATCATGTGGATACTTGATTTCATAAGTAACTTCATACTCGCGAGCAACGATGTGCATCGAAAACCTTCTGTGCAATATTTTTTGCATTGAAAAGAGGAGTTTGGAAAAAGCCGCAAATTTTGACTATTTTTCTTTGAAATCTTCCAATCATTTTGAGATGAACTTTTTCATTTGAGGAGAAGTCACTAAACCAAATTGTTCGTAGCTCAGACGGAACATTGAAATAGGTAAATAACTATGTCGTTTTCGAGTGATTTGTTTTCCTTTTTTTTCTCCTTCGATAATCAATTTTTCTTCATTTCATTCGACATTACGGATGTCTTGAGGTTTCAAAATTATAAATGCCATTGCAGAGCCGCCGGTAACTTGTCGCCTCATACGTCTCTCGGTCCAGAAGGTTTTCCTGGTTTCAATCACTTCATTTCTTTCGTTTCGTTAGCTTCGTCCTCCAATCTCCTCTTCTCTGGGATATCCGTCACGCCGTTGCCGCTGAAATCGCCATCCCAACGATGCTGTGGCGTCCCCAACATCCGAAGCCACTTCAGCATCTTACGTTCAAATGCGTGAGTCTAGTTAACAGTTAAACATTGCACGCCTGTTTAAGGCGGCCCTCATTACGGTAGTTTAAATAGGTTTGGGTTATAAAGCGAAACTTGTGTTCTTTTTCTCAGAAATTATCTTGTAACCTAGAGAAAAAGGTGCTTGACTAATTGCGAAATAAGAACATCAAACCAATTTCTGGCTCTGGACGGCGCAATATTTACCGGCGCCGGTCGTCGTAGCTTTTTCTTAAACATGTGTGATAAGAGCATCGGCACAATGATGGTTTAAATTTTTCTAAATGCTAACTTAGAAAGACCTAAAATATCGTGTCCCTATTTGAATTGAACCGACTTTACTCTAAACTAAGTTACAGAAAGCGTGTTTTGAGATTTAATTCGTCTGCTTATAATAATATTAGTATCGCTAATTTCTACTTAATCACTACTTTCTTTTGGTGAAGTTTTATATGTTGACAAAAACAAATAGTCCGATTTTTGATATGCGTTCTGCAAAAGAATAGCCGAAATCGAATAAGTTTCTCAGACACATTTTTCAGAATAATTAATTTCATCTAAATTATTTCCAATACACTTTTTTCAGTTCAAAACAGTTTTTTTTTTCATTCGTGGATTGATTTTCACCGCTCTCCAT